AATGGGATCGCAACCCTTGGTGTTGCGCCCATACCGGGTACCGGCAACGGGATCGCAACCCTCAGTGTTGCGCCCGCACTGCGCTCAGCCAGTGAGCGGGAACCGGTCTCCACATGGGATCCGAACCCTCGGCGGGAGCGCCGCCACGCTCCCAAGCGGCGCACTCTCTAGTGCGCCACCGGGCCAGCCCTCAAACATCCTTTTAATTGCTGAAAGAATAGAGTAGCTATGATCTGATAGCTATTTGGAGCACATTGTCACAAATTGGTTGTGATCGAAGGACCAATTTGATCTGTTAGGTAATCATTTCCAGCATGAGTCATCTATCAAAACTTGCACAATGAAAAATTCTTTTGGAAATGTTACTTTTCTGGTTTAAGTTCAAAACAGCAAATACATGCCTTATAATGATCTTGTTCAAAGGCAGTATGCACCCGTAGGAACAGGTCCTTGAAATGTGTTTCCCTCTGCTATTAAAACAAAGATACCATAGGGCCGGCCCGGTGGCACACTGCTACAGTGCGCCGCTTGGGAGTGCGGCGACGCTCCCGCCAAGGGTTCGGACCCCACATACAGACTGGCCGCTCACTGGCTGAGCAAGGTGCAGGCGCGACACCGAGGGTTGCGATCCCGTTGCCGGTCCCAGTCCGGTACGGGCGCGACACTGAGGGTTGCGATCCGTTGCCGGTCACGAAAAAAGACAAAAAGGAAAAAAAAAACAAAGATACCATAAAACAGTGTCTGAGATAGTTCTCCATTAAAGAGGGCACATTTGTGAAATGTAAACTTTTATGTTTTATCGAAGAGATCAGTGGAAAGATTGGAAGATTCAAAAACAGAAATAGAGTTAAATCAGCAATTCAAAAATACATCATGGTACAGAGGACCTAACAGTGTGTAAATCATCTCACAGCAGGACTGTTAATAGCTTGTCTTGCTTCTGTGCCAGTTTGGCAGAGCTTTCTGTTCATTACTGTGCCCTCACACAGATGACACTCAGTTTAGCATAGGGGTTAATTGCCCAGCTTTGGAGTGAGACAGGCCTGGGTTTGAATTCTGGCTTTGCCGCTTGGCTTGCTGTTGGGATGAATTTGGGCAGATGACTTAGTTTCTCTAAGCTTCGGTTTCCTGTCTGTGACCCGGAAATACTAATACCTACCTCATAAAGTTGTTGTGGGGATTAAATGAGATAATATATGTTCTGCTTTGGTATAGAACTAAGTACAATGTGTCTAATAAAAGGTTGTTATTACCGTTGTTATAAAAGTTCTTAATTTACAAGTAAGTTTACATACTAAATGAGTTAAAACATGTAACTACTCTAAGTGTTTCACAGGCGTGAAATGTTGAAACAGCTCCTGACACATAGTGAGCACTCAGTAACATTGGCTTTAATCACTATCATTTGATTCTATAATTGGCAGGTATGTGTCCTCCCAGGGACAGGAGAGGGAAGCTTCAGAGACCCAGAGAAGTAATTAATAGTCAACAGGTCCCCTTCTCCTTTAGCAGGCAGCGACCCTCCACTGAAGATCAGGGGAGGGGCCTAGGCTCAGGCCCCCAGCGTTTTCAGTGAGCTGCCGCACTCTCCTCTCCACCCAGGCAGAGAAGGAAGGGAGGATGAGGAAGCCAGGAACCTTAGACAGGCTCTCTCTTTAGCCTCATGACAGCCCTAGAGGAAAACTGCCCCTGTGTGAAACTGAAGCTCAAAGTGGTTAAGGAGACACCAGGATTTCACAGAGGCAGGAAGTGCAGTGCAGGACTGGAGCCCAGATGGTGCCGTGATGATAGCCTTAGAAACAGTGTTATAAACGGGGTTAGGGCCTAAAGTCAGTCTCTCAAAAGTATGTCAGTCAAGAGTGTCACAGAGGCACAAGTGATGAAGAGAAGCTTCACCACCACCTGTGAATTGTACTTCATTGTGAGGCACATAAGCTTTGACGGCTCAGAGACATGTTATCCAGCTGTCAAGAACTGCCCCATGCAATATAAAGAGTTATGGGGTCTTTGATTTTCCCACTATTTTACATGCAATATGAATTTAAATTGGGCAAAGCTGCTTGTTTACTAGTAGAGTTTAAAAACAAACAAAAAAAAACAGAGAAAGGGAAAAGGAAATCCAAAGAACACTAGAGCTGGAAGTAAGACCAGGCATGGTCAAATCCAGAACACTGTTTTCACAGACAGGGAAACTGAGGTCTGGCGGGGGAACATGACTTGCCGAGTTCTCTGTCTCCTTGTCTGGAGCATGGCTGCACTAAAGCAGGTCCTCGTGCTGCTGTCTTTCAGGTGGCATCTGTCGGCACTTGCTGCCCCTGGTCCAGTGCCCCACCTTGATCGTGCATGGTGAGAAGGATGTTCTGGTCCCGGGTTTTCATGCCGACTTCATACACAAGCATGTGCGAGGGTCACGGTGAGTGCAGGCACCACATCGGCATTCCCTGCCCTGGAAGCATTAAGTAAATGGGAGAAGCTACAGGAAGAACAAGGAGCAGTAGGAGTTGGGATTTTAGGGTGCACACCCCTGCCCCATTTTGCCAATGTCGGTAAATAGTACTGCTGTATTTTGGATACCATGGACTCCTGTGGGACAGGAGCCCTGATCTGTGGGTGACCAATAATTGGAAGGGAAGGTGCTCTCAGATAAATATCTCTCGTCATAACAAATGGCAAATGTGCTAATAGGTAGTAAATTCTCGAACACTGGTAACAGTTTAGATTTATATCAACCACTGTAAACTGAAATGATTTCATATAATTTGGGAATTTTCAGTTCAGTTTTTTATCATGTGAAAGCACTACCTACTCAGTAAAAAAATTTGGAAAACCGAAAAAAGAAAATGAATTACCCATTGCTTGCTACCCATTTAGTTACTATCATTATTAGCACTTTTGTATGTAGATATCATTCTATATTCTTTTTTTCCCACTTAAAATTATTTTGTAAACTTTTCATGTTGTTTCAGCCTTAAATATGTCACACTGTAATGAGAAACCCGTATTCAGAATCACAAAACACCAACGTATACCAAGCCATGTTGGTGGCTCCCTCAATTAAAATGCAGGCACATATCATTTGTTCTTTTTATCTTTACTTCTGCCAACAGACCTTGGATGTCAGAAAACCTTATAAGATATGCCAGCAGAAATTCTGTTATTCAATCCCATCAATTTTTGTATGTAATAGAAATTTATATTTTAGATACTTTGGCTGACACAAGGGCCAGCTTTTGCCATTACTTTTATCAGGAGTTGAATAAATTCATCACCTCCTTTACATGCAGCAGATGCATATCCTGGAGGTGAGAATGGGGTGTGACCATTAAACAAACGTATTAGAAAATATCCAAGTGAGTATGGACCCCTTCGGAGACTATGTATGCATTTTGGACATCTCTGAATTACTCAGTACGTCTTCAGAATTCTATGAAATTCTTTTGAAATTGGATTTTATTAGTGACCTAAGAAAATCTTCCCTCCCTCACCACTTTCCCTCCAGAAGCCAATTTCTGATGCCTATGCATTTTGGACATCTCTGAATTACTCAGTACGTCTTCAGAATTCTATGAAATTCTTTTGAAATTGGATTTTATGAGTGACCTAAGAAAATCTTCCCTCCCTCACCACTTTCCCTCCAGAAGCCAATTTCTGATGCCTCCTGAGGGCCAGCACTGCTGAACATGGCTGTTAGTGGTCCCTGTCCTCAAAGCCTTGCCACCCAGCAGGGACAGCAGGCACAGAAGCAGCTCCACTGCCTCCCAGTCAGACTCTCTAACATGATGTATTTAACAACAGATTCCTCTGAGAATTTTTAAATGTGGGGAAAATGTTTCTTATTCTATAATAAATACAATTACCATAAACATTTATAATTCCTGTACCCATATAGCATTTTTTAAAATTAAAAGGCATCTCTTTACTCCACATATTTTCTCCTATATCATTTCCATCATGAATCCAAAAAATATACATGATCATATATAATGAATAATCCGTTTGGCTAGAACATAAAGTGAGGAATAAAGGTAGAAGTTAGGTTAGGATTACACTGTGGATGGACATAAAGCTTAAATTGATTTAGTAGCCAATAAAAGGTATTTTTATACTAAGGTTTAATAAAATTGTAATACTAAAATTCAAATAGTATACTTTTTTATTAATCCTTCTGAAAGTTTTCTATATAATCTATACAATCTTAGCTTTTGTAATTGTATGTATATATTTACAGTGTACAAGGTGATGTTTCCATATAGCATTTTATATTTTAAAAATTATTTTACGTACAATGTGTAATTATACTTCATGACAAACAATGAAAAAAATTATCCATTTTAAATGTATGAGAAATCAAAGCTGAGAGGGTATTAAGCAATTTTTCAAGGTTGCATAGCTAGTAAATGACAAACCTAGATTGTTTTTCTCCTAATATAGTGTGTTTCCACCACATCACAGCTGCCTCTCATAAATATACTCTTACTATGATAGTAAGATGCCTGGAATAATATTCTAGGTGACCTGGTTAATTGTCTCCTAGCTTCAGAAACATCAGGTTTTTTCACACCGACAGGCACGGTAAATGCAGTGTGTTCCCCTGAAGAGCCAGGTTCAATAAAAGCCAGTCTGCAGGAAAGTTTAATTTAGGAATTCTGTTCCAGACCCATCTCCTAGCAACAAAATACATCAATATGGGAGAAAAACATACCATTATCAGGCAGATGTTAATTCTTTCTGTAGACTATTTTCTGGAAGAACATTTTCTTAGAGGAATATTCTCTGGAACAGATAGGTTAAAGGTAAAGTGTTGTAAGTAATGCTTGTCCAAAACTGGCTGGTATTTTCCGCTCACTGCCTTCCTCTGCTAAAGAAACCCTTTATGTTTGGCTGGTTAGTTTATTTGGGCTTCGCAAAAGGAAGGCAGATTCCTTGAGTACCACAGTCTCCTGTGGTTCTGTGCACCAGGCAGTCTGAACACAGGGAAGCAACTCAGTGCAGCAGGCTTCCGATCAGCAGGCATTTCCTTGTCTTGCTAGGGAAATTAGACTTAAAGGCACAGTCTGTCCCTTCACAGATTTTTACCAAGAAATACATACTGTGTGTAAAACAGATACCAAACTGCCTTTCCTGTCTCAGAAGTTATTTTGTCTCTTTCTCTTTCCTTTCTTTGTAGGAGAATAATAGAATCTCTTGGAATCAAAGAGGCCTTAGAGATCATTCAATTTCACTGTTTTAAAAAGTTGTTTTTAGGCAGTTGAACCCCTCTCCTAACAAACTCTTATGCAGAGTCTGAGATATGAAATGCAAAATATGAGCTGCTCTGATGACAGCAGGGTGGGAAGCAGACCCTGCCCTTGGGCCCTGTTGCCCTGGCCCAGCCCTCCCCCTGCCTGCCTTGCCAGCCTCTGTGTGGGTGTCCCTATTCCCAGGCATGGCGTCACCCACGAGGCCAACCCCAGCTGCATCCAGAAAGTTCTTGCTGAGCACAGGTTGCACCCCTTGGACTCTGGGGTCGAGATGGATAGGCCCTGGGGGACAGGAGAGGATGTCACTGCATGGCTGGGTCAAGCTGCAAGTACGCTCAGGTGTTTATTAGTGAGCTAGGGCTGCTGTCACAAAGTACACAGACTGGGGGGCTTAGGTAACAGAGGTGTATTTTCTCACAGTTCTGGAAGTCTAAAATCAAGGAGTCGGCAGGGTTACTCTCCTAAGGCCTCTCTCCTCGGCTTGTAGATTGCGTCTTCTCCCTGTATCTTCACACATCTTCTCTCTGAACCTGTGTCCAGATCTCCTCCTCTTTTGAAGACACTAGTCATAATGGATGAGGGCCCATCCTTATGACCTCATTTTACCTTAATTACCTCTTTAAGGACTCCATATCTAAGTAAGGTCACACTCTCAGGTACTGGGAGTTAGGACTTCAGCATATTAATCTGGGGGACACAATTCAGCCCATAACGTGTTTCCGAGGAGGTGCTCAGCTCTCAGGAATTAGAAGCCCAGCAGAGTTCCATGTCTGGTTTCAGACCAGGTGCAGAAGACTGGGCCCTTGCTGGACTCCCCCCTGTCCCTTCACCCCTTTCTTCTGTGGCCTGGTCTGATGCACTGCTCCTTCAGTTCAGCTCAGAGGACTGCTCCTCAGTGAGACTTCCTTGACTCCAGCTCACCCTGCAGTCACTCATCTTTCTGAGGTCACGTGGCTCCTTGTCCATGCCTTCCTTTTTACCGCTGCCCGCAAGTGAGTCTAACATTCTTCCTATTGGACGCTTCAGCCCAATCCCAGGAAGTAGTCCAGAATATCTTCAAGTGCCCAGTGCATGCTCAAAGAAAGAGAAGGCGAGAGCGGGAGGCATGCAGAGGGCGAGTCTCTGGGGATGGGCCGAGGCACTGGGACCAGGCCAGGCAGGAAAGAACCCAAGGGTGAAGGCTGTGTGTGCAAAGAGTTGGCACCTTGGGTTCGTGTCAGCTAAAAGGGAGAGGTGGGGAACGGCATCTTGCCTGGAGACCAGCGTTGGTATTTTGGGTTCCTGAGCAACATTCGTAGCAGTGGGGTTAAGGGCACCAACAGGGGACTCAGACGGACCCACGTTCGAGGGTTGGCTTGGTCCCTAACTGTGCCATTGAGCACTGCACATGATATTTCTGTACCTGTTTCCTCATGTGTAAAATGGAAATGATGATACCTATCATCTCAAAGAATTTTTTTGAGGAATGAATGAGGAGGTATTTGTACATTTAAGACTTAGAAGAGCTCAACACATGGTAGCTGCTGCTTTTGTGGATGGAATGCAAGTGTGAGTTCAGGTGAGAAGGGCCCCCAGAAGGCATCAGGGTATAGCTTGATATTAGGTGGGGCAGATGGCCCTCTGCCCCAGCTTTCAGGACCATTATTACTGTAGGTGTAGAGTTAGTAGTATTAGTGTAGCATTGTTAGTATCATAGTAGTATTAGTGTAGGGCAAATTAGGGGTCTCCAGAGAAACGGAACCAATAGGGTGTGTGTGTGTGTGTGTAGAAAGAGATTTATCGTAAGGAATTGGTTCACGCAATTATGGAGGCTGACAAGTCTCAAGATCCGCAGGGTGAATCAACAAGCTGGAGACCTAGGAGAGGCAATGGTGTAATTCCAGTCTAAGTCCAGCTGCCTGAGACCCAGGAGAGGCGATGATGTAGTTAGTTCTAGTCTGAAAGCCAGCACGCTTGAGACCCATGAAGAGCTGATACTTCAGCTTGAGTTCAAAGGTAGAAAAAGCTGATATCCCAGTTTGAAGGCCATCAGGCAGGAGAGAGACCCTCTTACTCAGCCTTTTTGTTCTATTCAGGCCTTCAACAGATTGAACGAGGCTCACCCACATTAGGGAGGACAGTCTGCTTTACTCAGCTTACTGATTCAAATGTTATTGTCATCCATAAACACCCTTATGGACACATCCAGAATATTGTTTGACCAAATACTGAGCTCCCTGTGGCCCAGTCAAGTTATAATTTTATATATAAAATTAACCATCACACTGGGTGCCTGCTCCTGTCCACAAGGGTCTTGGCCTTGTGGTGGGCTTGCAGAGAGTGTGCGGGCAGGCCAGCTGTGAGGGGGAGACTGAGCCATCTAGGTAATGGACTGGATGCTGTCCTCTGTCTGATGACAGTAGGAGGAAAGGGTCTTTTCTGTGGCTTCCTTGGCTTTTCAAGTCTGGCCACTAGGCCAGCCAGTAGGAGCTGTCCACTAGCTGGAGTGACATGAGTTGACCTAGGTGAACAGGATTCATACTAGTGACAAAGATTTGTTTTCAGCTCTAGAAAAGTGAGGTCAGGGTACTGGGGTAGACATGAAGGAGGGCGGTGCTGCAGCTTCCACTTCTGAACACTTCCAGCCTGGCCGGCAGTGAGTGCCCCCCTCTCCTAATGCCCCAGGGCCCTGCCCCACCACTCACCATCCGCCACCCCCCCCACCCCCCCCGCCCAGTGCCATTTTAAAGCCTCCTCTCTGCCCACTGGCTGCTCAGGTGGAGGGGAAAACAACTCCAGACTCTGCTTGTGGTCATGTTATAGGATTAACTGCAAATAGAATTAGCCAGTATTTTCAAAGTTGAGTCTTTTGCAGTTCAAAAACAGAGGGATCTGACCCATTCTAGACAAATTTTACCCACCACATTTTGTAGAAACTCTCAGAAGGGACAGATCTTTCAGTTGGAGGTATTGTGTTAGCCGACAAGTATAAAGAAACTGCTCCCAAGTTGGAGCATTCCTTTAATAAGCTGCACATAAGTAGAACCATCTTAAAGACTTTTGCACACCATAAAGTGCAATACAAATAGAACAATAAAATAATAGCAGACATTTATTAAGTGCTTACTGTGTGCCCACAGACCTTGTGCTGCGTACCTTAAAAGCATGGTCTCATTTCATCCTCAGAATAATCCCATAGGGAGATACTATTACTATCCCCATTTTCCAGATGAGGAACTGTGGGTTAGGGAGATGATATAACTTGCCAGGGTAGATCCCATGCTGGTTAGACCAGACGTGTCCTGATTCCATGAAGCCCTTGCGTTTCACCCTGTGATGGCACCTCCAACCTACATCCAGCCACCACAGGAAGGAGACGCTCACTGCGGTCAGAGGCCCTGGCCACGTTCCTGTGGTCCCAGCAGGCTCGGAAGGGCTTCGTCCTGCACGTACTATTTAAAGCATCAATTCAGCAGACCCTGACTGCCCAGCAGTATCCTGCTCCAATCTGCAGCACTGCCAAAAAAGCAGCCTAGGAGGCAGTTTTCTTTCTTTCTAATGCTTGAGACATGGTTGCATTTGAGAAAAGGAGCTTTTCTATCAGAAGTCTGCCCCCCATTCCCAAGTTGCCTGGGCGGCCGGCCATCAGGCTGAGAGGGGAGAGCCCGCTGGCCAGGGCATGGGCTGAGGGCCTGCTCCCCCAGGCTTTACCCTCTGAAAGGACCCTGTGGTTCACCCATTGTTACCTCTTTCCTAGGTGGCATTTTCTAGAAGGAGCAGAATGAAAAAATAAACCGTTTAGTTTCTGAATAAAAAGGGGCTGTTGATGGCAACCAGGTTAGGATGGCATCAAAAGGAATGCCTGGAAGCCTCCCCATCAGCCTTGTTGCTCCAGTTTCATAATGGAAGAGATCCTGGTAGCAGCAACCAGCCTGCTTTAGCTTCCACTTGAAACAAAAGTGCTCACAGACTTACTGGCAGCTTTACTTTATGGGTTCATAAATAATTTAGAGTTTTATCACATTGATCCAAAGTGTGGGCATGCTGCGGCACCTCACTCATGGCCTTTTACTGTGAAAGCTGGAAAAGGTTCACATGAGGAAAGAGGCCAGCATCATGAGGAAAGAGGCCAGCATCATGAGGCCAGCGTCTCACTTGTGCCACCTTGACCCAGCAGGACTTTATCAAGCAGAGGTAAAGTAACCACTGAATTTATACCATGGGATTAGACAGCTTTGCTTGCCTCAAAAGATCTCTTTTTGTGAAGGGGCCAGATGGAATGAGGAATCTGCCCTGGCAAATAGGAATCTGTGTTTACCCTCTCAGAAGCCCCCTCATGCCCACCTGTGCCATATGTTTAGCAGTGAGGGGCTTCCTACTAATTTTCCTGGAGAATGTGATTGTTTGAAAACCACTCTCCATGGAACAAGTGATTAGATCCTTTGCTTATTTGGGTTAGAATCCAGGGCAGACATGGTGGCTGCATTGCCTTGACAGCTGATATTTACATCTGATTATTATGCTGCTGATCCCAAGAAGGAACACAAGTAGGTTTTAGGTATAATAAATCCTGTGTCAGACCTATAGGATGAAGGTATACAAAGGACCTTGAAATGACTCCAGAAAGGTGTCAAGGAGAACAGTTTTCTTTATCCATCCATTCAGCCATCAGAGCAGGTCTCCCATATTTTTAATAAAGGGAACCTAGTTTTTACTTCCCCAAGATCTAGAGATTCCTATAGGAAGAGTATGGACAGCACTGAATGGCTAAATAGAAGGGATTCACAGCTGGTGTTTTTCCTTCCTTATCAGAACGAGTATATTGTGAAAACAAGGTAGAGGACTTCAAGTTTGGCATGTCTGGGTTTCCCTGCCTGAGAATCCAGCTTAGTGCAGATTGGGGGATGCATTTTACCTAGGCATGCCCTCCCATGGCCCTTAGCATCATTGGTAGTTGGTTTTTTTCTGCCTCCTAAAAACGGAGGCCTTCAGCATCTCTGCAAGTCTGTATGAAAACAAGGTAGAGGACTTCAAGTTTGGCATGTCCGGGTTTCCCTGCCTGAGAATCCAGCTTAGTGCAGATTGGGGGATGCATTTTACCTAGGCATGCCCTCCCATGGCCCTTAGCATCCTTGGTAGTTGGTTTTTTTCTGCCTCCTAAAAACGGAGGCCTTCAGCATCTCTGCAAGTCTGTTCCTTGTGTCGGGCAACTGGGATCCTACCTTTGGGGTTGATGCAGCTCATCCTCCTTTTCTGAACAGCATTAAAATTGAATTTAGAATGGTCTAGTTATCCTTAATGGCATTATTAACTTTCCAAGCACCTCAGAAAGATGCCAACTGTATATCTTCCTTTCAAGGTGATGATCTTGTTGCCCCATCCCCGCGCCCGACATGGCTGAGTCGCAAGAGAGCCAGCGTCCTGCAGGGACATCCCACTTCCCCACAGTCCTCCCAAGTGCCCAGCACATGAAAGCTCTTACCCCCGGTGTTGAAAGATCAGAGAATTAGGCAGTGTGGTAACTGGCATGCCCCAGTGCAGTCATTTTAATGTCCAATTTCATTGTAGACAAAATGGCTTGAACTTGTGCTCACATCCTGGAAGCTTTGTTTAAAACTTTTACTATATCTATAATTTTATAGCTAACCAATAAAATATAGAACTGAGAGAAGGCTGCCTTTGATAGAGAAATTGCAAACCAGTCCCATTTGACCAAAATCCTATGGAAAGGAAGAAGCCTTGCAAGGACTGTGAGGTGTGCAACTGTGGCAGCTGCACAAGTGGCCGCCGGGCACAGAACCGCCAATGCCGTCCCCAAAGAACTAGGGGCTTCCCCATTTGGCTGGTGGCTCGTGTTCAGACTCACTTGTTCAGTGTTCCCAATGTGATAGGAACTGAGGCCAGCAGACTGGTGGTGGCTGCAAATTGCAATCTTCACTTTCCCACTACACAGATGCCCCAAGAAACTCACCTGCCCACCCCGTGAGTTTTGCCCTTTCTTATCTTCCCAACCTTCTCTTTTCAAATCAGCTTCATTAAAATGGACTTTTTTTAAGTAACCACCAGATCACCTGACCCGCTCTGTCAGTTTTCCCGTCAAACCATTTGCTGCCTGACATGATTGTAAATGTAACGCGTGTCTATTGCTGTGAGGTTTGTGCCTCACAGTTGCCTCCAGGGTGCTCATCACCTCTAAGGGGTTTCACGCGTGTGGCTGTACTCATGGAAGGTTGATGCTGTTGCCTTACATTTTCCTCCCAGTAGCAGTCATAGGAAAAAATGAGGCAGTTTTTCACTTTAGAGTTTTATGAAATACTGGGGAAGGTAAGAGGTTTTTAAATGTGTCATTGATCGAAAGCTTTTTTGTTTTTTAGGTTGCATCTGATGCCAGAAGGCAAACATAACCTGCATTTACGCTTTGCAGATGAATTCAACAAGTTAGCAGAAGACTTCCTACGATGAAACTATCCCGGAAGCATCTAGTCTTGGTGGCTCCTTACCATGGGCTTGATCATGGTACTGTGTGTTACCTTCATGCCTTTAAACCTCCTCCCTGTGTCACACCTCAGCTAACCTCCTTCCCATGCTTTCTGCCCTTCCCTATAATCTGACATATTGAAAAGAGCTTAAGCTTCACTACCTACAAAAATCAAATCTGATTTTTGAACATTAAATGGTGAATTTCTACCATTGTCTTAAAAATTAAATTCCTGCCATAATTTACTTTCAAATAAATTTCAGGTAGATCATTTGTAGTGTTGATGTTTGCTATTTTAGGACATCTTGAATTTACACTGTACCTTTTATCTGAGATGTATGAGCTTCATTTACCTTTCTATTTCTATTTATCACATTGCTCAAAGACAAGTGGAGAAACAGAAGACAGTCCTTACCAAAGGTCTTCAGTTGTACAGATGCATAGAGTATCTGGAATAGCAGCAAATAAGGTGAGAAGCTTTGCCTTATCCCAAGAACACTCTCCACTCCTGGATCACTTTTCAGAGATCCCTTACTTTCATGCTTTGGGGCCCTGAAGATGAAAAAATGTGTATGTTCTTCTCTCCTACTAAAAGGGCAGGGATGCTATTAATTAAAACCACTAAAGCAGGAATCCTATGTCACTTAAAATTAAACCCTGAAACTTTATACGTAAAACATTTAGTGAAAGAATAAAAATGATTTGAAGTGAGAATAGAGCCGTCATGGTTTTATACACATGCTTTTTTATTAGTGTAGATATCTTAACAGACAATACTGTAATTCTGAAGTGAGTTCCACATTATTACATCAACAGTGTGTATTTCTGACGGAGGCAAAACTGAGCACCATAGTATACACATAGAAAGACCATGCTGGGGAAGACAGAAGGTCACTAAGTGTGCACGACTTATGGGACAGGAGCTCAAGCCTCGTCTTCCCCCTCCTCCTCCTCGAACTCCCCCTGCTCGTCGGCCGTGGCGTCCTGATACTGCTGGTACTCGGACACCAGGTCGTTCATGTTGCTCTCGGCCTCAGTGAACTCCATCTCCAAAAAACTTTCTATGCATTAGTGACCCTTAGAAACACTGGAAATTATAATAAAGGAGAAAGCAAGTTGAGGAAGAGGATAAATTTTTAAAAACCCAACTGCTTTTAAAATTAAGAACAGAGATAAGGGCTGGCCAGTTAGCTCAGTTGGTTAGAGTGCAGCCTCATGACACCAAGGTCAAGGGTTTGGATCCCTGTACTGGCCAGCTGCCAAAGAAAAATTAAAAACAGATAATTCTATAAATACTCAGATTCGGTACAATTAAACAGGCCAGGGTGAAGACACAATGTGGTCACGAGAGAGACAGGCTCTAAGCAGTTGTCTAAACCTCTGGTCAGCAGGCATTGGCCATCGGCTCCTTGAAGTGGTTACCTGTTGTCACTAGTCCTTTGAAATTACCTGTATCCTATTAAGCCCTGTTTGAAGTTTTTCCTGCTCTTTCTTCTTTCCCGTCAGAGACTACTCTGTAAAGGGAGGGTGAGAACAGCCGTCTGTGGACTGACATTGATCTCTGAGCTGTCCAGAGAGTGACCAGAGAAGCAACCGCCCGTGGACAGGGTGGAGTTAGGCCAGGACTCGGGGATTTCTGTGGACACAGTCTGACCTCAGCATTGGACGGGAAGAACTGTGATCTGCCTGGTTGTTAGGAAGAAGGTGAGTCATCGGGGCAAGTTCCTGCTGATCATGACTACATACCGAACACAAAGTTGTCTGGCCTGAAGATCTGGCCAAATGGTCCGGACCTGACCGAGTCCATGGTGCCTGGCTCCAGGTCCACCAGGATGGCTCGAGGTACATATTTGTTACCTGCAGGGAACAAGAGCTGACTTAGACCTGTGGTTGGCAAAGGAATCACAGGCAGGGTTGTGCTCTACGCGGCTTTCACAGCAGAATTCATTAGAATTCCAGCATCTGAGACAAAAGGGCAGAACAAGGGATTTTCTGCTTCTAAGAAAAAGGAGATACTGAGCATGCTTAGCCATGCAAACATGCAGGAGTCTTAAGTACCAATAGAGAAAAAGGAGATACTGAGCATGCTTAGCCATGCAAACATGCAGGAGTCTTAAGGACCCATAGGAAGCTTTTTCTAGCAGCTGGCATTTAAAATGAAATGCAGTAGCATTTCTTTGTCATCTGTGTGTTTCCAGGACATTCTGTCTGGCACAGTATGGAAAGCAAGGTTGCCTGGGCTAGAATGACCAGGTACTCACCAGCGGCTTCATTGTAGTACACGTTGATCCTCTCCAGCTGCAAGTCACTGTCTCCTTGGTAACTGCCGGATGGTAACTGCCTGTGGGGTCGATGCCATGCTCATCGCTGATGACCTCCCAGAACTGAAATGAAAAAAAGAATCCCATCGTGGCATGGCATCCCAAATATCACTAAGGATGGCCTTTTTTTTTTCACATGTCCTTGGAACAGCGGCTGTGTGGTCAGTTAACGAGTCCTAGAAGAGACCAAAGAGCTGTGCAGCCCTGTCTCCTGCAGCAGCTGCTGCTGAGGGGCTTGGAAATCCACAGAGCATCGCCATGTTATGGCGCTAGACTGAAAGGCTGGAAGGGGCCCTGGAGAAGGGGAGGCACAGCAGACCCCATTCTAGGGAAAGCCAGGGATGCAGGGGGCAGTGTCACCCAAGGCAGGGCTTGATGTCGCTGCCTCCCGGCTGATGGATGGGTCCTGGCAGGACTGAGGACCAGGTGGACACCAGTCTGAGGCTGCCTGCAGGGATCCATGTCTGCTGGCACAGATCCTGGGCAGCCCTCTGAGGGTGTGGGTTTATGCCACTGACCTACGTATTTGCCTCCGGGCACTGACCACAGCAGGGAAGGGTGGGCGGGAGCCCCTGTGAAGGAGCTGAGTGAAGGAGCCGTCCATCAGGCTCCATTGTGAATTTGCAGCAGGAAAGGGGGCGGGGGGTTGGGGGGCAATATGGCGGCTTTAAAAGCGACCACGTCCTCGTAGAGGCGCCCGCCCACACCCATGCACCATGCCAGTGCTGCGTCCCCGACTGCGGTGGGTCATGACAGTCCCACCCAGCGCAGTCACCTGCTGCCTCGCAGAGGGGAAACAAGACCTTCGTGCTACCTGTCATCGCGTCTAGAGAGTAACCTTGTTTAAGGGAATTTATCTAAACACCCTCGTCTGTATAACCCGAAGAGAAGCCTCTATAACATCTGCCAGTCCAATGACATTGCATTATTTCATTCAGATGGTATACAAAAATATACAATTTCACATGAAGCTGCTGAAGAAATATGACCATAGTCCCTATCCACATTTCAGAGACTAACACACCCAGGGGAATGCCAACGGCGTCCCACAGAAGGGCTGCGGTCCAAGGAAATTTAAAGGGCCTGATTAAAGGCACGCGCAGCTGCGTCGCCGCGCGCATCCTGGCAGGTTGGGAGGGTTCCTGGGCCCCGCCCGGCGGCCTCGCTGCGGAAATCGCCATTCGGGCTGTCCGGGGCCGCCGCAGCCTCCCCCGGGCCCCGGCCCCCGTCCTGGCCAGCACCCTCTGGGCCCCCAGCCTCAGCCCAAACCTTCGGGTTCCGCGG